ATACTCGGACCTTTGTTTTTGTGAGAGGTCACTCAGTATTATAGACTCTAGTTCCATCTAGGTTGCTGCAAAATTCATGATTTTGTTCTTTTTTATGGCTGCGTAGTATTCCATCATGTATATGTACCACATTTTTTTAATCCAGTCCTCTTTTGGTGGGCAGCATGGTTGCTTCCAGGTTCTTGCTATTGTGAACAATGCTGCGATAAACATACGTGTGCAGGTGTCTTTTTTATAGAGTGATTTGTGTTCTTCCGGATATATTCCCAGTAGGGGGATTGAGGGGTCGTATGGGAGGTTGATATTTAAAGCTTTTAGGAATCGCCACACTGCTTTCCACAGAGGTTGTACTAGTTTACACTCCCACCAACAGTGTAGAAGTGTTCCCTTTTCTCTACACCCTCTCCAGCATTAGATTTTAAAAAAATATAACCTTTCATTTTTTTCCCTCTCAAAAACATACAGTTACTTAATTTTTTTTTTACCAACCTACAGCTGTGTGTGTGCTTGACAGAAAAAACAAAAATGTTAACAAGAGTATAGTTTAAGTTTATAGTTAAAATCTGTAAAAAAAATAAATTAAAATTTAAGCCAATTTATGTTGGACTAAGTACAGAAAATAAGATGTGGGTAAAGGAATAATGAAACCCATTTATGCATGAGCATAACTTCCTATGTTTTGGAAGAAGCATAAATAAGAATGCAGGACTGGGGAAATGGATAACTTGAACTTCTAGTTCAAGGAACAATAGATGTGAGTTACTTAACTAGGGGAAAGAAACTTCAGAAATTGAAGTACTGCTGCCTGGTACTTAGAGGCAACAATTTAGTTGGTAGCTTAAATATTAAGGATTATGAACTAAAGCAGATTCCTTTATAGCTGGCTTATACTCAAAATGTCTACCTTACCGAATTTTTACTCTTTCTGGATTTCTTACTAACATGTAAAAAAGTATTTTCCTAATTTTAGTGGCTGCGAGACCCCAGACTTTCTGACACATTCTGTGGCAATCAATTTTTTGAGCATATTTCTTATCAAGAGAATATAGTAAGAAAGCCGAGGATGCTGCTGTCTTACCTCCATGATGGGGTTGGAGGCCAAGACCTTTTCCTCCACGTTGGCCTCACTGGCAGAACCACTTACAGTTGCAAAGTATCTCATGGCATACTTTGCTGAGACTGTTTTTCCTGCCCCAGACTCTCCACTTACAATGATGGACTGATTTCGTTCATCTCTGTAAAACAAAGAGAGAGTAACGGCTGGTGAGCCCACTTTGGAATACAGTTAACATTTCGGCTCTGTTCTCATGGATGAGGCACAGTGACAATGTGGAAAGAAACACAGAAATAATATTTCCCAACAATAAACTTTCCTGCTTATAAACTAAAAAGGAAAAGAGAAAAAAAAGAAGATATCAAGCATTAAGTTGAAGAGCAATACATTTAAGGATGAAGCTGCAAAACAGGGCCTCAGAATTTGTGCATGTAAATATATCTCAAACATTATTTCACTCCTAGAGAACTACTTTGATATCTTACAGTACTGTTGTCAATCGCCTCAGAAGAGAAAGGAGAAATTTTTGAAGTCACAGCAAAGGAATTTAGAAGAAATTCTATTTAATTAATATTATAAGACCATCTAAAATATTTCAAATTGTCTACTAGGTAACAATCCTTAAAATGATATCTCCCACAAACTCAAGTTCCTACTAAAGTATTATCATCACCAGTGGATTAATAATGTTACTACATTATTATTGGGATTATTGGGGAATTGGCTCCTGATAAAAGAATGAGTTTGACCCAATATCCTCTCTCTGTCTCACAAGCTCATTTGCCCTTCTGCCATGAGATAGCCCTCACCAGATACCAGCACCATGCTCTTGGACTTTTCAGCTTCCCAAACCATGAGTCAAATAAACTTCTGTTCTTTATAAATTACCCAATCTGTGGTATTCTGTTATAGCAGCAAAAAATGGATTAAGACAGTAGTCTAATAGGAAAGAGAAACCTATTCAAGACTGCAATCCATGTGATGGGGCATTAAAAGGAAGAAGAGGAGATTCAGAAAGGTTTCCTAGAGATGATATCTGAGCAAGATCTAGAAAAACAAGAAGAGAGAGCAGGCAAGGAATGGGGAAGCCAGGAAAAGAACATTCCAGACAAAGGAGATAACATAAATGAAGGCTCAGAATCATAAGAAGTAAGAAAAGAGCAAGTAATTCAGTTTGACTGGAAAATGGAGTCGTGACAGACTTATAATTTCTGGCTTGGTCAGTCCTTTCAAGGGCCTCTACAATGATCCTAAGTAGCCTGGGTACTAGGTGCTTTGGAGTGGAGGTGAGTTCTTCTGACCTGTTTTAGTCATGGTAGTTCCAGAGGCTCTAATGTGAACTCAAAGCCCCCACCTAAAAATACTGCTTGCTTCATTCATTCATTTATTCATTCAACAAACATAATGAGAAGCCATAAAGTGCTAACCACTTTATGGAGATCAAGGACTCTAGGGTCATAGCCTATTCAGGGGTACTAGAAAGTACACAGTTAAAATACAGTTGGAAATAATTGCTATATAACAGCTCTATCCAGGACACTATGAAAGTATAAAGGAACCAGTAGGAGATGTGAGGAGAGGATGTCATGAAAGGCTTTCTAGAGAAGGTGATATCCGAGTTGACTCATATGATCATTAGGGGGAAAAAAAACAGGTTGTGTGGGGGTAAGGACATGGGAGTCAAACTATGTAGAGGCACCTAAAACCCCAGGAAGGAATTATTCAAGGATGAGACAGATGTTATACTTTAATATATTTTCTTGTTATAGTCATCAGTGACCCCATATATATTTGGTTTGTCTAGTCTTTTCTAATATTATATCTATAAAATTTTAATCTTATAGATTTTCCCTTTAAACTTTACCCTTTAAAAAATGTAATCTCTCTGGTTTATCATGGTCATGTCAAATACTATTCATATCTGCCAAGACCATCAACTTGTCCTCTGTGAACTTAAACATACTTTCAATTATATCCAAGTCTTTAACGAGGAAACTAAGTAATGCTGGCCTCAAACCTGACTAATGCAGGACACAAGTTAATATTTCCACCCACGTTGGGATGTTAACTCTCTGATAACCACCCATGTGGTGTTGCCGTGTACTTTAATAAAGTGTACAAGCACCTACATCTACATTTTTAGTTTATCAATGAATATATTCAGGTGTTAAAATAAAATCCAGAGTTTTACTTTTTTGTAGGTGACTGTTTCTCCCTTTATCTGATCCCTTGCTAAAAAGAGAAAATATTAATTTTGTGTAATAAAATGCCTTTTTCCTGAGCTGTGCTTTTACTGTGGTGAATTAAAAATATGGCTTCATTGAGATTTCCAATTCCTCTCTCTTTTGTTAGAAAGTTGCCAAGTTATTCTACATTATCACACATTAAAACCTAGCTTCTCTGCTTTGTATCTCTCAATGATTTTTACTTTTAATTAGTCTCAAGAGGAAAATACTTAAACTCTAAAGCTGATACTAGACAATGAGCTCACAATTATATTTAGTATTCTTTTTGAAGTGTAAATACTCGCTATTAAAGAGGGTGCTGATACTGTTTAAAGCTGTGCTTTAGAGAGGCAGAGAGACTATTCAGGAAATGAAAACAAGTGTTACCTAGAGATACTTGCTGAGGTCATTCAATTTTGGGTGAGAAGCCTATCATATGGCTATCAGATTCCCTCGTGTCAACCTGTGTTTTTCATTCCATCACTACAGAGTCTATAAAATATATAAAGATGCCATAAGAGAAATAGTCAATTATATTTGCTTATTACTTCTACGGACTATAGTGCTCTAATACGTATTGTATTTAATTCCTACCACAACCTTATGAGGTAGATAGTACTAAGTCCCAAACAAGTAGCTCAATGCTATGGTTTGAATTTGTTCCGCAAAGTTCATGCATTGCAAACTTAATCTTCAATGCAACAGTACAGAGATATAGGACCTTTAAGAGGTGGGACCTTTAAGAGAGTTCTGCAATCATGAATTGATTAATGCCATCATCACCACAGAGGGTTAGTTATTGTAGAAGTGGCATCCTGATTTTAAAAAAATAAAAATAAATAAGTTCAGCCCTCTTTCCATCTTTGCCTTGCATGCTCTCTTGCCCTTCCACGTTCCATTATGAGATGATGTAGCAAGAAGGCCCTCATCAGATGTGGCCCATAAGTCCTGCACATCCCAGCCTGCAAAACTATGAGCCAAATAAATTTCTGTTCATTATAAATTACCTAGTCTGTGGCATTCTGTTATACCAGCATAAAACAGATTAAGATACTCATATAATAAAGAATTATAGAGAGGAATAATTTACTGTGAGCTGGCATGGTCTGAAAGCAAAACTTGAGTGGGATCGTGAAGGACAAATATAAATCCAACAGATAAAAAATGTGGAGAAGAATATTCTAAGTTGTATTAAAACTGCAGAAACAGAATTATGCAATGTTAATGTGAGGAAACAGACCTGTTAGAATGGGGCCAGTAGTTGAAAATAAGGAAACAAAGTGACAAAGAAAAAGGCTTTGGAGTCTCAGAGCTGGATTCAAATTTCAGTTCCCAGATACCACAAATTAGCATATGGCCAGTTTCATCACCTGTAAAGCAGGGGTGATGGTGTCTGCTCCCAGGGATGTAATGAGGATTACATGCTTGACACCAAGTTTGGTACATAGTAGGTCTCTAAATATGGTAGCCATTAATTAATATGCTAACCCACCTTTATATGCCATAAATAAAATTCTTATCAGGTACCATGCATTACTTCAAGCTTCTTTCCATAAATAGGATACCACATAACAGTGGAGTCACAGTTGATAAGAGGAGAGATTTTATCACCTATACTAGCTAGTGAACCTCAGGACAGTGGAGCATTTAGAGACTACATAACCAAATGAAAGGAGGGGCCACTCTAGGGAAAGACCTGACAATAAGTAAAGTCAAGAGTAATAAAACCAGATGAGAGGCAACAGGTGATGAAAACAGAATGTGGACTTGTGACGCCATAATGATGGTGACTATGATGGTGACAGGAACAGATAATATTTGAATATTACTTAATGTTCTTCAATGTGCTTTTAGGTTTATCATCTAATTTAATTTTCACCTCTAAAGTAAGCAGGACAAAAATTATCTTCTCCTCTTTGGAGGAAATAATGACACAGAGAGGTTAGACGACCTGTTCAAGGCTGATGACTAGTATGGCAGAGTAGAGCTAGGCTGTTAGACCTCACTTCTCCTGATTTCCAAGGAAATGTCTATACAATGCTCCTCCTGCTTTGTTACATGACTGTGTACCATGATCTACTCTACGCAGAAGAAGAAAAATGCTTATGCATTAGTCCCCATCAAACATAAACATAGCAAATCCATACCACAGAGTCCTGTAAATGTAAAGCTAGGCCATTAGAAAAATTTTTCCATTTTACAGATGATAAAACTGAGATCCAGGGAGAGATTTAAGCCTATATAATTAATTACTGATAGAGATGTGACTTGTACAGTTGTATTTTTCACTATACTAAGGTTAATTGCATATACTTATTTCAAGAAAACCTATAGGTGAAACTAAATAGCCAGGTGTGGTAACTCACACCTGTAATCCCAGAACTTTGGGAGTGGAGGCAAGAGGATTTCCTGAGCCTGTAGGTTCGAAACTAGCCTGGGCAACATGGCAAGATCTCGTCTCTACAAAAAATAAAACAATTATCTGGGTGTGGTAGCGCATGCCTGTAGTTTCTGCTACTTGGAAGGCTGATGCAGAAGGATTGCCTGAGCCCAGCAGGTTGAGGTTGTGGTGGCCATGAGTGTGCCACTGCACTCCATCCTGGGTGACAGAGTGAGACTCCGACTCAAAAAAAGAAACTGAATAAAATTGATTTACTCTACCATTCACAGCAGAGAGAAAATACAGCAAACTAAAGCAATCATTACTACCTAGTTTTAAGAAAATACACTGATGTTTTAAGGAAAATAATATTGTGTCTGAGTTATCAGAGAACAAATAGTTCCAGCATGAGAAGAGACTGGGAAGAATATAAAACAAGAATATGAGAAGAAAAATAGACATGGCAGTCCACGGAGTCTTTCTACTCTGTAAGCCAACAGGACAATTAAAATTAAGAGGTTATTCTGGGAAGGTATTTTATGAGGGCACTGTTCTGTCTAAGGAGATTGTTTATTT